TTTCCAAATTTCAATGAAGATATGAACAATTATTCATGAATATGTCAATTTTTAAATTTTTTTTCAGATAGAAATTTTCAAATGTAGGTAACTAATGTGATCTACTATCTACTCAATTTTCCTTAAATTTCTGCTTTCCAATTCTCAAATTTTTCTGTCTAAATGTTTTTCTATTTCCGGCTCTTGAATTGTTTTCTTCAAACTACCTCCAAACAAAGAAAATTCAAAAGCCTGAAATAGGAAATAATAGCATACTCATTATGTCTACTCTATTCTCTATTAGAAGTGTTCCAGTCCCAGAAGGAAAAGGTCATGATAGTTAAGGTCATTACAGCCTTTCTAGGCTTTTCCTCATTCACCTGCCTCGCGACCTGGTGCCTTCCTGGCTTTCAGGCCTCTGGATTCCCTAGGGATTGACCTCATCCCTGGTTCACGCAGTTTGTCAGCGGATTGATCAATCTCATCCTTATCTCGAAGTTCGGCAATCTTTCCGCTCTAAACTATCTGCGAAAGCTTAAGCTTTTACTTTATATCAGAGAATACCTAGGCAAACCCATTAAATCTGTGAAATAGTCGAGTGATGGTTTTCTTCTCACAGATACTTCTGCTTTTTAGAAATTTTCCTTAAATTTCTTCTCTAAATTTCTGAATTTTTCCGTCTCAATTTTTGTCTATTCCCGGCTCTTGAATTGTTCCTTGTAAATATCTCTACATATAGAAAATTCAAGAGCCTGGAATAGAAACAACATGTAGGTACTTAATGGCCATTTCCACCAACTATTTTAGGGGAACCCTAACGATATGTATTCCCTAAACTGACATTTCTCCATGGAAAACTGTCAGTTTAGGGAATACTTATCGTTAAGGCTTCCCTAAAATAGTTGGTGGAAACGGCCATGAGTCTACTTATCTACTCCATTTTCCCGTAATGTCTGCCTCTCAATTCTCAAATTTTTGTCTATTGTCGGCTCTTCAAGAGCCTCTTAATACATATAAGAGCTGGTTTATTCACTTTCTAATAAACTGTCAGGTAATGCAATCTGACGGATAAAAACGCAATATGTAATCCCATTGGTTAAGCAATTATCCAGTGACCAACAGAATTATAGATCTGTAAATTTATCTTGCAAATAGTTACCAGCAAGTTTATCTCAAGATGAATAAACCGGGTCTAAGATAGAAAACATTGGATGTTAGCGAATACATTTTTAATACAAAAAGTCGTCTGATCCAAATCTTTTTTCCTATTCCAACAAACATACCAAGCAGCAAAGGTTAGTCATTATGACGTCGATTTTAAATAGATTTACATCGAATAACCAAAATTCGACGTCGGAAAGAGGTTGCAAAATATGACTTGTTTGGGACGTCACGTAGTGGACGTTTATTTGACCATGACATGAACCAACAGGTTCAAAAGTTACCATGTGAAACCCAATATGTCCTATTTAGAAAAAATACCCTGTATTAAGACAGCTATATGAAGCGTCCATTTGACGTCGTTGAATTGGACGTATATTTGGTTAGTGTGGATCGATTGAAAAGTTATATATCCAATACTAGTAGGTATATACATATTATCTGATGCATAATAAGTATACAGTGGGTATACATAAAAAAATGATAAAATTGTTTTGCACTAAGTAGTTTTGGCAATTTTTGCCACTCGAATAATGATCATTCTCAAAAGGTTTTTCATCACATTTTCGAAACAATCTGAAATTGGTATTTTGTGCAGTGCATTTCCGCAAGTAAAGATGGAAGGATTTGTTTATCTCAATAATTATTATACCTGATTGATGAATTATCACTGAAGTAAGAAAAAAAGGGACCAGGGTAATGTAAACAAGCTATTGAACCTTTCTTTTCTTATCTATTTTTATATTCGTCATTCGGCAGTAGACTATAATGGTGGAGGAATAAGCTATTAAAAAAATGATAATTATCCAAGCTATGATCCTAACTGCTCTTCAAATCAGAATTTTGGTAAGCTATTTCTAGTTGAGCATGTTTGGTATTAGACTTTAAGCATTTGGCTGTAACTGTAGATGTTTTTAATAACTTTCTCTTAACAATTGAAGTTGCGTTTCACTGATATCCAGGGCGACAAATCATGGTTTGATTATTTCTTTTTGGTAATTGGTGTCCCCCGGGAAAGCCGTACGCCATAATAGGTTAGGATCTCATTTGTTACACGATTATACTATTAAAGTGAATGCTCTTCAACTTTTCCAGGCAAAATTGTTTTTGTATTTTCCAGATGAAGAGTCAAGTGATCATGTTCTATATTGTAGCTGGAATGAAATGGTCACGCCTCCAAAGAGGAATACAAAACCTTTCAAAGGAGGTATCACACGGAGTAGTTTCTCATTTTAGCAAAATCATTAGGGGGCAAGCCTCCACGACAGGAGGAGTTACGTATTTGAGAACTTTTTGATAGTATTTTTTGTCTAGAGATATTCCCGATTGCGCTACTTTTCAAATTGCTACCCTGTATATTCTTGACACACACTTTAGCGTACCAGGCCGTGTCAATCATACCTACTCGACGATACGTATATTTCCTTATGGGATTTTAAAAAGTGGCCTGTGCGAAACATATCGGTATACTTGGTTTGGGCAAATTTGGCTATTTACTATTTTTTTTTTAGGGTTTTAAATCAAACATTGTTTCATACCAATCTTTTCCAAAGATGACAATGTTAATCTTGTGAAATGAATAATAATAAAAATAATATTGTTCTTTTGCTCTGAGAACAACGTCTTCTTGTAGGTTTAAGGTATAATAATTTGAATATTATGCAAAGAAAAATAATAATTTCTTAGTTATAAGCAAAAAAAATAAAAAATTCTTAAAAAGTAAACTAAAACACTAATATGCAAATCTATTTAGATAGTAGATAGGTATATAGAAACAATAAAAAAAAATCGTCGGGTATATTTGACTGACGTGGCCTCCTCCATGTCGAAGTCCATGAAAATAACCTGGGGGCCACGTCAGTCAAACAATCCAGATATTCTTTCAATCTGAACAAACTGATCGAAGTCACTTGAGGTTTGTTTCAAACAATTGTCATTCGGTTTTACAACGATTTCATTGGCTCGGCATGCAATGTCAGCAATGTGTTGAATAGTGATAAAAATCCCGGCGGATGATCCTAAAATAAATCGCTTGCCCCGGTATTCTCTAGGTATGGCAAGGTCTGCATAGCAAGAGTGAATTAAACTGGAGGACATCGGAGGAAGAAACTGGGAAAAATTCTTCACAAAGATACCTTTTCAAAATTTATATTTCATTATTCCATATTTTTCCTTTTGCTCTATTTCTTCTTGGTCTTCTCCATCTCATTCCTGTCTTCGTTTACGAAAGTTCTCAAAAATCAACAAAATATGCCCAAATACGATACTGGGATTCGAAATGATTTAGTCCCGAAAATTGATACAGGAATAGCACCTTAGAAATACTTCTAGGTGGTAGTTGATACTCTTATAGGAAAGACCCCTCTCTCCTAATTGCATATAGATCTGAAATATGTGAGGGGCTTTTGAAGTTAAACATGAATAAAAAAAATTATTCGAATTAATTTTCCCACATCTTTCGAGAGCATATTTTTACAGTCATAAATGTCAGTAATCACTGTCGGAGTAGCCGTTAATAAGCGAGAGTTCATCAAAGTGTCTGCACTTTGCAGCACCCAGCTAATTAATAGAGGGTCGCTAAAGTGGCAATCCCTCGCAGCGGCTTCTTTCTCTCAATAATTACGTTATAACCTAATTTCCGGACCATTAGAGAATCTCCTTTCGCTTTATACCGATTTAATTTTGCATGTAGTGAGAGGTGATCCTATTAACTAGCAATTTATTAAGCGAGATGATAATAATAATAATAATACGTATAATTTTTTTAGACAAAAATAAATTTTATTAAAACAAAAATTAAATGTATTTCAATTAAGAGTTCCTATAAAACCTCTGTCTGTAGAATCCGAATTCCTTTTTTTTTTGAATAAATATTTTGAAAAAATCAAAAAATAGAAAATAGGTCCATAATTTATATCTAGGATAGGTATTCTTAAATTTCTGGCTAAATAATAAAAAAAAATCATAATAACCGAAAGTAAGTAGCCTCATATTTTCCAATATGCCTTCCTAACCATAGATTATTTAATTTCCTGTTTAAGATTAACTTTTATTTCTTCCCGGAGCCTTTTGTTCGCTTTTGATGTTTTTGACGTTTAAATTTAAATTAGAGCTATTTATGTAGATATTAGTAAATACAGGGTCTTTAGTACATCGATAGGAAGTTTTTGGGGTCATTTGGGAGCTGTTTGACCACATTTACCCTTATGCAAAGTTTCGTCGTTTTTGAGATATCAGCATTTTTAGATATTTTTGGGAAATATTTGAATTGTTCCTAAAACATTGTATTTATAAGTAATCACTTTAACCTTTCTCAATTTTTTTTTTCCGATATCCTAATATGCACTCTTTCGGAAAAATGCGGAAAGAAAAACCGAATGATTGATCCAAAAAATATGTAAGCCCAAGTTACTGTTAAAGTACATGGATTCAAAATATCTAAAATTGGCGATATCTCAAAAAACGGCGAAACTTTGCATGAAAGTAAATATGGTCAAACAGCTTCCAAATGATCCCAACTATCACTCATTGAAATCTTCCTATCGATGTACCAAATACCCTGTATATTGTGTTGTTGTTGCTATAAAAATACTAGGGTTCAAACCTCGATCCATTTTCTCCTTAAAAGGGGATTCTTTATAGCTATTTCAGGATCTAATTCTATACTATCGTCCTATTTTCAAAAAAAATTTCCAGAAGCGAGATCCTAGAGAGGATTGATTGATATTCAAATTTTATTAGAAAAACTTTTCGAATTTAGATAAAAATGTGATTGTGGCTTCAGACTTTTTATATAATATTCTAAAAGGAAAAATAAATATTTATCATGTAACATTTTAACTTTTTTTCTTATATTTTAGGTGCATTTCTGGTTCCTTATTGCATTATGCTAGTCATCGGTGGAATTCCTTTATTTTATATGGAACTAGCTTTAGGACAATATAATAGAAAAGGTGCTATTACTTGTTGGGGTCGGCTTTGTCCACTTTTCAAAGGTAAGCTTATTTTATTAATCTATTCAATTTTTTACTTTTTTGGAAAGCAACTCACTCCATTGGGAAAGTGATACACATTCTTTGGTGATACATTAAAAGCTAAAATCCCAAAATAATAAGATTTTTATTTTCTGTTCGAACGGCAGCGCGACAGTAAAAAGGTTAAAAGCATATTTTACGACACTCACTGGCCTCCCTCTCTCGTCTTAAATTGGCAGAAAAGGGCGATATAAAATTTAGTGACCGTTTTCCACTACTTTCCTTTCAATGTAGTAGATCAAATTGGTTCAAATTGCCTATAGTCTGGAGTCTCACGGGGAAAGTGAAATCTTAGAAATGAAATATGTATTTACAAGAACCATAAAATTAATTAGAAGTGAGTAATAAATATCAACATGATCTAATATCAATGAAGAATAGATGTTTAAACATGTGACGTTTCGGTCTTTTAAATTTAATTTACATAAATTTTATAATATTACCTTGCATTTTTTGGGACTTACACCTCAATTGAAATTAATACCAGAAGTTTCTTGATTTTGATAGGAATTACTACAAGCTCTCTGATTAGAGCAATTTTACCTATCAGATTATTTTTATACAATAAATTACTCGAGTCGACTTTTTATAAACGAATCGAGTTTTATTATTTTAATAAAATAATACTTGATTAGGCTCGGTGGTATGAGTTCTGGATTTTTTGCTGACGTTTCGGTACCAAATCTGCTACCGTTGTCGAAGCTTGGGGGATTGAAAACCTAAAAAATAAAAAAGGCAGAAAATTGTTCGGTTTTTTCGTAAATTTGTTTGAATACTCGAATTTGAGTTATTAAGCAAAAATTACAAATTTGACTAATGTCGTGTCAAACTTTTGACAATAATCATATCTAGGAAATGGTGGTATTTTCTAAAGGTGAGATTTTTAATTAATTTTCAATTTACCTTGGTTTACTTCTGATTCAAGCAAAGGAAGCCACGTATTACTAAATGATGTTGAGCATGAAGCAACACATTCGTCTTTATTTAATAAAATTAATGCGCTTTCTTGGATTTTACGTGTTTTTGAAAAAGCTTCCTTTGCCAGAATGCTGGAAGCATTCCAGTTGATTTGATGGTTATTGTCAAAAGCATGTTGGCATATGTTTGATTTGTTAAAGTCCTCGTTTTTTATGTAGTTCTTGTGTTCTTTGATACGTTTTTGTAATGGCCTACGAGTTTCACCAATATAGAATTTATCACATTGATTACATGGAATTTTATAAATTACGTTTTTATTACGAATAGTCTCATTATTTGGTTTTGTTTTTGTAATTTGTGATCTTATTGTGTTTTGTGTTTTGAAAATTGTGCGTATATTGTAGTCTTTACTGATTCGTTTTATTTTGTCTGACATGCCTGGTATACAGTGAGGGGCAGGCTACTAGGTATATAGTATATAACTTGACGAATTTGCGGGCGTCCGCATGTGGCAAAATGACAAATATATTTAGTGCTAAAGGGTCATTTACATCCACTTAACTTAACTTGACGTACGGAAAATTAATAATAAAAAAAAGTTGAAGATCACATAGTTGTTACATCCACTTAAAAATTAAGAAAATTAACGTGACACACGGAAAAGTTGAACCAACTTAAGAAAATCCGTGCAATAAATAATAATTTCCATTTCTGTGCATATAATTTGACTTGACAGTTCAGGTTATAAGTGCGCATACGTCATGTAAGATAATTTACTTCATTGTTAACAGAGACCTTCTCAGTTTCGTACGTTAGTTATAATTTTCCGTACCTTAAGTTAAGTTAAGTCGATGTGAATGACCCTTAACTCATGACAACCAGGTAAAAACAAAACGTGAAAAGACCTGTCACTCAAAAAACTAAGGCTAAAGACACAATGGCTGAGATACGTTTTCGGATACGAGACTAGGGGCCGAATTTATAGTCATTCCTTGAGTCTGCCTTAAAGGTCGTGAGTTCAGAATGGACACTTGGTACTATTTGACAAGTTAGTCATGTCAATTCTAAACGTTCAAGGCTTCCTTAAGGTCCAAGGAAACCTCAAGGAGCGACTATAAATTCGGCCCTAGGCCCGTAACTATGCGGACTACGAAACCACCGTATCTATTCTGCGCGTGAGCAGATCGATGCGGAGACGGATACATATAAAAATTCAGGATAAGCAAGTAGACACTTTAAGCAGGTCCTGAATTTCAGACGTATCTAACGCAGGATAGATAGTAAATACGGTGGTCTCGTTGCGTTGCGTTGTCCGTATCGTTACGGGCCTAGACTCGTATCTGTATCCGAAAACGTATCTCAATCATTTGACACTATTGAGGGATCTACCTGTCAGTTATTACTAAAATAACTTCAACAACATAAACACAGTACTTATAGATAAAAATAAAACCTACAAACACAGCTACAAAATCAAAACAAAACTTTTTGTGGTTAAAAAACGTGTCATCCAAGGATACGATCGTTTACGTAATACATGACCATTAAAGGACTTTTAGGCGGTCAACGTCAGTCGATGCGTTTACAGAAGCGGATAAGGATACGTAGGAAAATTTAGGGTTTGCTTAAAGTGTCTAGTGTCTACATTGATAACCAACGCTTAGCTATCTACACGCGTAAACTTAATTATAAATAAATAAAGCTTGACGAAATATCTGAAAGCATGGCGCAGACGCTACGTTTTGCACAACGTTTTGTCTGCATACAGTTAAACACGATGCAGACAAAACGTTTTGATCAGTAAGCTGAACCGTAGCGTCTGGACCGTGCTTAAGTCTATCGTACTGAAGTAAACAAACGTCAAAGTTGTTGAAAGAACGACAGTGACAGGGGTTCAAACGGCTGCGGACGGTGGTAAATTCGTCAAGTTGGATCCTATATACCTAGTAGCCTGCCCCTTACTGTATATGGTAAGTAAAGATTGGTTATTGGTGGGTCTGCGTTTTGTTTAGGTTTTGGATTTTCGAAGTTTGTGATGCATTTGTTTATGAATTGTTCGGGGTAATCGTTTTGTTTTAGTATATTTTTAATGTTTTGTTTTTCTTTAGTGAAAGTATTGTGATTGTTGCATATTGTTTTGGCTCTGTCGTATAGGCTTTTAACTACACCAGTTTTAATCATGATTGGGTGATTTGAATTGAAGTTTAAATATCTGTTTGTGTGTGTTGGTTTTCTGTATATTGTAGTTTCAAATTTGTCTATGTCTTTTGTGATAAGTATGTCTAAGAAAGGTAGTTGGTGATTTAGTTCTTTTTCTATTGTAAATTGTATAGTTGGTTCTTGTGAATTTATGCGATGAAGAAAGTTATTAAGGTCGTCTTCATTGTGAGTGTAAATTGAAAATATGTCGTCTATGTAATAATAAAACTCGATTCGTTTATAAAAAGTCGACTCGAGTAATTTATTTTATAAAAATAATCTGATAGGTAAAATTGCTCTAGTCAGAGAGCTTGTAGTAATTCGTATCAAAATCAAGAAACTTCTGGTATTAATTTCAATTGAGGTGTAAGTCCCAAAAAATGCAAGGTAATATTATAAATCCACCTCAAACATACAGACATTTGTTATAAATTTTATACAAAGTAGTTTTGCAACATTTGATGAGATACCGCCAAAATTACACTACCCACTAAAATACATGGGGTATACTAAAAGAATTATTGTATTTACATCATAATTATTATTCCCATGAAGTATTTCCATATTTTTGATGACAACTTTTTAACTTTGGATCTACGATCTACCATCGATTATTGGAAACACTGGTATATTTTCGGGTAAGTAGGAATAAAACCAGGGCCCCCGCCAGACATGAAGCCGCCCGCGTGCGATTTCATATTTTGGCGCCCCTTAGGCAGCGGCGTAGCGAGACAAGCAGCCATGGGGGGGGGGAAGGAAACGCGCCGCAGGCGCTATTTTTTTGAAAAATCAAGGTCATTCGCTTTTACAGAACAATTATTTCCTTTGTGATTTTTCTCTTGATTATTCGATTCTGGGAGGAAGGGTAATTAACCCCTATACCCCCCTTCCCCCGACGCGATGCCCCTGCCCATAGTGTGGACGATTGAAAAAGCGGAAGATTTTTTGGAGTGACAGCGAGTCAATCGCGTGGGTTGTCATGTTTTTTAATAACTGCATAAATAATAATGGTCCAGAGTAATTTTGCAAGAACGAACTGGAAAATTTGACAGGAAAATTGGCACATTATCTGTACGGAGCTAAGAGGCGACCTGCAGCCTGACTCTTGCTCGCACGAGGGCGCAGGACAGGGCTCTATTAATTCTCAGTCTCTGTCTGACTCATATAAGATTTTACATGGAACTGAGTAGGACAGGGCACCTGTTCCCGTCCTTAGACGAGCGCAGGGTCCAGGGTCCTTATTCTTGAAACAGTGGAGCAGCATTTCCAGGAGAACGAGTGTTCCGTCTTTGTTACTTATCATTTACATATCATTGAGAAAGACAGAACACTTGTTCTCCTGGAAACGCTGCTACCCTGTTTCAAGAATAAGGACCCTGGGCGTTTCGAGAATCATCAGATGCCTGGCCTTTGAATAAAAAGGAAAATAATTGAAACACTTTAGGAAAAAAAATTAATTACTAAATATTGAATAAATTGTAAATTAATTTTTTTTTATATATTCTTTTCTCGTGCGATTTGCCGCCCCTTGGCTATGCCGCCCGCGTGCGCCGCACGCCTTTGCGCTTATGGTAGCGGGGGCCCTGAATAAAACTAAACATTAGCCACAAAAAATAAATAAATTTCAATTTGAATATTACTCCACCTAAATACGAAACTTCATCTCAATCGAACGAGTGCAGAAAAAAAACAAATGAAAAGTGATTCACGAGTCTACCTTAATTTTAGAATTTCTGAAAATCTTCATTAAGTAGGTACCTATTCAACAAACACAAATAATGTTTGGATAAGAGCCTCTAGACTATGGATAAGGTAACAAAAGGTAAGATCTATGTCATGCGATA